AGGTGTAGATTGACTACAAGTGCTACCAAGTGCAGCGGGGCTGCCGTAGCTTTGCGCTACAGGAAGCGTCTTTAGGTCACCGACCTTTCGTTGTATACAAGAACCAAGTACTAGTGCAGCGGATCGCAATCCGCTGCCTCTAAAAGTACTCTAAAGCCTTACCAAGGCAAACGAACACTTCTGTCCATAATCGAAACTGAGTATTAAGTATATATTTTTATCTTAATGTTAAAAGTTTACATTTTCCTAAATTTACTAAATATATATAGTAAAATCTAAATACATCCATAACTACTGGCTACCTACGAGAGCGTTATGGATAGTTCCATCTGTCGAAAGGCGACAATACGCAGGAAGTCGGCGTTGCACCATGTGTTTGGCAAAGTCAAATCTAAGAAGGTGCTCAATGCGCACGTCTACTTCCTTGTGGCTTCGCTGTAAGGTAGACAGCGAAGGCAGTTTTCGGTGCCGCTTCACCCATCGATCAAAGATTTTATCGTCATCTGCAGCGGTTTTGACAGGGGCAAGCACCACAGGGATGTTCCGCATTGCGCGAACAGGAGCACCTTCTTTTTGAGCTCGAAGTCGAGCGCGGTACCGATCCATTGGGATTTCTTGGGGTGCCAAGAAGCGAGCTCGCAGAACTTTCTGTTGATCAAGCTCAGCTTGTGTAGTGACCAGAGTCCCGACTACGTAGACGCCTAACGATAGAGTGATCGCGTCTTTCGTTTTAGTAGCGGGATCCACCGAGCGCAAGCCTTATTCCACACGAACGTCCAAGACCAAACGTGGATACGAGCGCAGGAGAGCCGTCCTGTGAGCTGCCTCCAGTTGCTACTCCCGTGCCTCGCCGAGGCGATTGGTAATAATACTACCTCCTCGGTAATCGAGAGGTCGGAGAACGGACACGGTTTTCGCAAGGTTCGAGCAGGGCTCACGTTGCACCGTTGGCGCACTTCGCCATCATCTTCTTTCCATGCTTAGAAAGAAGTATCGGACTCGTAGTCGATTTCCTTCGAATCCTCGATGAGTAACTTTGTCGCCCGGGGCGGGCGCGGTGTGTGGCGCTCAGTTGCCGAGGGCTTGGCATAAGCTCCCCGTAAAGTTGCGGACATACATCACCCTGTACAGAAGAAGAAGGACTTTGCCAGCGGGCACCCTTGCAACCAGCTATGCTGGGTGTTTTGTGTGTCAAAGATACAGTGCTCGTAGAGCGGAGATATTTTAACAATGTTTTTGTGAACGTGAAGGAGTCTCAGTCACGCGAGCCTCGTATGAGTCATCCGTTAAATGTGAACTGAGGATATTTACAATTTGGGTGGGGGAAAGTGTAACGGGATTACACCCCTTTGTTAGAAAGGGCGGGTTAAACAAGATTGTGCGACCGTACATAGGTGTGTATTACACAGTTAGTGTAATAACACAGTGTTGTGGCTACGCCGTAACAAGAAGCCACCACGTGGCAGGATTGCCAGTAGAAATGCATAAAGATATATTGATTTGGTTTTGCTATATTGATTGGGTATAACTATTAGGAAAACCCAGGGTTTCAAATATTGGCGGCTCTGCCACAACTAAGACAATTGAATACAGCTTCGATTTTTAACATAAGTGTTCGTTTGCCTTGGAAAGGCTTTGGTACTTACAAGTAGCGGAGGGCGATCCGTTACACTTGTACTTATTCTTGGAAAGAATGTAGGGTCGGTGACCTCAGCTTAGCTTTCTCTAAGCAAAAAGCTACGACAGCCCTGCTGCAATTTGAGCCAATGCACTGCGACTCAGAAAGCGTTTTGGTCGCATGACAACCCCTACAGCCTATTTATTCGCCTCAGAGATCGTGTAACGTATTTATTGCGTGCTAGCCTGCCAAATTTTAAATTTTGAATTTGAAGTTTTTGCTATCAGTCATCAATATTACAAAGGTTATTCATCAAATGTATTCTTGCATTTTGCGCCATCTTGAGGACTTCAGGACTTCGTTTTCGACGGACGTGGGTTACGATGATTAAGATGCCACACTGGTTTATCAAGATAACCAAGGATGTATTGCCCTGGCCAAAATCCAGGTGCTCCACTCACGCACGAAGCAAATTGACTTCACGCGAGACGATCAAGCGAGCGGTCATTCCTTAGAATACAAGCTGACAGACGAGATGATCACCGATGGGATGATGAAAGCATCGGCTCGTTACAAGAATAACAAGTTCGTCGATGGTCTTGGAATCAAGATATCAAACAAGCTGGGAAGACTTCAAGGGAGAGTGGTGAAATATGATGTGCCGCCAATCGCGAATGTATGTTTTGCATTTTTGCAGAATAGATTGGCTCAGGCGTGAGAAGGACTCAAGTCGATTGTGTGCTAGGTTCAATTACTGCGCTTGAGTATTGTAGCAATCAATTATGTATCGCAGTCTGAAAGTTAGTCCTTGCCGAAACGGATGATGACAACTTTGAGATCTAATCTATAAAGCTTCTTGGAGTGTTCTTAAATCATATCGTAGCATCTGCGGCAACGGGATATTACTAAGTCACTGTCTTAATTTATCTTCATACATGTAGTTTGCCTGATCAAGTTCTGCTATATTTCCACCTACATTAGCTCTTGATATACAAGTCTTTAATATTAGTTTGAGTTGCTTAATTCCAATCGATATACCGGTTAAGCAGATTTCGATGCTGGACTATAGGCTCTGTCTGGGACGAGAACATAGGAGCATGTCGAAAGTGTTGTCCAATTAGGAAGCTAAGAAATCGACGAATGCATTGCTTTCCACTTGATTGGTGTGATAAATCTATGACATTCAGTCGCGTCGCCATTTCATACTACTCCGTGTGCATCACCTTTTTCCAAAGCTTGGCGAAAATGGCACCACCTGCTTTTTGCATACCACATTCCAATTTATCAAAGGACATTTTGAGCTCTTGAGTTCCAATTAAAATGACATTCAATGATAGCTCAGATCTTCCACTCTTGCAGCCTCGCAGCAGGACGCTTATCGAAGTCAACGAATCTGCTCAGCAGTCAACGTCACAATCGACTTTAAGGAAATCTCGTTTGGACTATTGGAAGATATGCTCTATTGGAGCCATACTGGGATCGATTGGATTCGGCATCTTTGTCAGCGCGGCGGTGCTCGCAATAAAGTTGGACGTTTATACGCACAACAAGGTATCAATGCATGCATTTCAAGACTATCTCGACATAATGGCGACATGTGCATCTACTGGTAGCGCTGAAGAGAACAAGAATAAACCGAAGGTACTGAACAAGGGTGTTGGTTGGCTACTTGGTGGTAACGATCCCGAGCATGTCCTGACATCGCTACCAAAAATATCGTTATTTGAGGACCTTCCTGATAATTGGGACTGGCGTAACTACAATGGAACAGGCATCAGCTTGACTACTAGCGTCATGAATCAAATGGTGCCACGAGCTTGCGGATCTTGCTGGGCTTTTGCAACGGTCAGTGCACTGTCAGATCGCATTCGAATCGCGCGGTATAGAAAGACAGGCCGTCTCGACACTGAGGTGCTGCTATCTCCGCAAGTCTTGCTGGACTGTGGCATGCGCTCATTTGGATCGTGCCATGGCGGAGACCCGCGATATGCACACAAGTGGATCTACGAAAATGGAATTGTTGACATGACATGTAATCCGTACATCGCATCGCATCCATCTTGGATGGGTGGGGGCGACTGCGCTTCAACGCAGTGCCACACGTGCAACTTGAAGGGAGAATGTTTCGTTTTGGAAAACCCAGTCAAGTACCGGATCTCGGAATACGGCACTTTAAATTTTACAACGTCTGAGGAGTTTCAACTTCAGGCAATGAACGAAATTTACCACCGTGGCCCCATTGTCGTGAGCATGTACTCGTTGGCACCAAAGTACCGGCAGTTTAAAGGAGGCTACATTTTGCGCGACTCAACCAAGTACTCCGGTACAACACACGTCGTGAGCCTCGTGGGATGGGGCACCGACGCTGAAACTGGTGTAAAATATTGGATTGTTCGTAACTCAGACGGCACGAATTGGGGCGACGATGGATTTTTTGCTGCCGAGAGGGGTGTGAACATTTACAATATTGAAAGCCACGGAGCTTGGGCTGTACCCATTGTGTAGTAAGCTTTTTTAGGTGAATATTAATTGTTTATGTACATGAATGAGCTAGATATCCATACAATCTAAGCCTACAAGCAATAATGTTTTCACCGAAACGTTTGTCGCGGGCTTTTTCCCGGCGTCGATTAAGTGTCTTAAGCAGCGTCTCACAGGATCTTCTTGTTAGCACGAGCATCGGTCACCAAATTGGGGGTGATTCTCATGCGACATTAGTAGAAAGCTTAGTTCGGACAAATGTCGTGGCTTCTGGCTCGCGATTGGAGGCCGCGCTGAGGCGTGTGGACCGAAGAGATTTCGTGGCGCCGGAATTTCGTGACTCAACCAGTTGCTACGATAACCGTCCGCTAAAGATTGGAACGATAGCTACAATCTCTACTCCTCAGCAACATGCACAGGTGCTCAGGCTATTAGAGCCTCATCTTCAGCCAGGAATGACGGCATTGGATGTGGGCTGCGGGTCAGGCTTTCTTGTGGCTGCTATGGCTCTTTTAGTAAGTCCCGGGGGATTTGTTACGGGAATTGACATTGTCCCGGCGTTGGTTAAGCTCTCTAAAGCGAACCTGTTGCACAGTCTTGGGAAGGAGACGGCGTTTAAGCAGACCGAGATTATTGTTAGCAATGGAAAGAATGATCTTGGCTTGCCTATCAATGCTCAATACGACTGTATTCATGTTGGTGTTGCCGTGGAAACAAAGGCGGAAGCCGAAAGCTTTTTGAAACTGGTAAAACCTGGTGGAGGGCTATTGATTCCTTTTGGAAGCGCGTGTGCTGAGCAGAAGCTAATTAAGGTGGTATAAGCTTAAATTTGAACTGAAATGTCACGCTGCTTATTAAAATAATCATGCGCAGTTGACGAAGTATGCCGATGGATCCGTGGATAAGCGCTTCATCATGAATGTTTTGTGTCAACCTATGCTCGACAGTACTGCCGACGGGGCCACGTGGATGACTCGTGCAGAGAAGCTGGCACAACTGGAGTCCGATCTCAAGGAGTGGTGCAAAAAATTTGAGTCTAGTGCTAGCCGAAAGCCCACACGAGACGACCTTATGGACAACGATGAGTCCAAGAAGCTGTTTCGAGAATTTGCGGCGCTGAGAAAGTAAACTTCTTGGTTTGCCGAATAAACGCTTAATTCTTACCTACATGCACTCAAATTTGTAACATTATTAATTTTTGGCTGAGCATAATAGGCATATAAATTTCGATGTTTGAGACTTCTGGAGCTCATTAATTAGCTGTGCATTTTGATGATGTCTATACAATACATTCACAGAGCCGCAATACTTTTGCTTTAACCACAACATGTCCTATCTCGCGGCGTCTACCCATTTAAACAACTGGGTATTTTCAATCGAGGATCTACAGCGTGTCCGGCGGCTGCAGCATGTGAAGACCAAGCGTGCGCTACGTTTAGAGCGTGAGGAGGCTCAGAAGCCAGAAACAACGGCTGATCGTTGCCGGAAAGCCCGGTCATTCGCGGCTTTAGTGCCGAGCTCGTCGTCTGCGGTGCGTGACGTATTCGACTGGAACGATGAAATAGATGGCAACCTTTCTAAACTCGAGGAAGAGGAAGAAAAGGCAAATTTACAGCTAACACCTTTGCTGGAGTTCCTAGACCCAGGCCAGGAAGCGGTTTTGCGACAGTTCTATGAGGAAAAGCTGCAGGAGAGCTGTAGTGCTCAATTTTTGCGCACGTCGGACAAGGTCAAGTGCTGCGCTATGTTGCTATTCAAAAGATTTTATCTGAGCAATAGTGTCATGGAATTTCACCCCAAATATCTCGTCCCGACGGCTATTTATGTGGCTGGTAAGGTCGAAGAGCAGTACATGTCCGTTGATACTATCGCTGACCAGCTTCATGTCAATCACAAGTTTATTATTGGCCATGAAATGATATTACTAGAAGGTGTGCGCTTTCAACTTATCATGTATCACCCATTTCGAGCGCTCCTCGGCTTTTTGGATGATTTTCGTGCCTTTGCTAAGCAGGCGCTTAAGAAAGATCTACCCGCGACGGTCTTGCAGAAGCTGCACGCTAATTCAAGCGCGATGATTAATGACATTCTGCTCACGGATTTACCTATCTTATACTATCCGTCGTTTCTGGCTCTTGCAGCGTTGTGGGATGTGACCGACGAAGTTGCTGCTAGTAGCGGCGATAAGGCTTGTGGACTCACGAGCGCCGATTTAGTGGATTACATCAAACGCAGTAAATTTTCTAAGGAACAGCCTGTCGACGAATTGCTTAGTCGTTTGATGCAGATTATCGAGGCATTTCGAGCGATCAAGATAGCAAAGGAAATAGGCAGCGAGGAGGGGACAAAGCAGCGCGCTAAGCACATCAAGCAAACTTACAAGAAGTTGAAGCAGTTTCACAACGGCGACGATAAAAAAGAGAAACAGAAGGACAAAAGAGACAAGAAGCGCGCGGGTGGATTTAAGGATGGTAAGAAAAAGGTTAAGAAACATAAGAAAGATAAATCTGAATAATTCGAGAATTCGAAATGCAATTTATATCATCAGTTCATATTTGATGACTGTAGTCGCATAAAACCTTCTTTACTATACAGTAGAACTCATTTGTTAATTATGCCAGTATCCTCTTCAGCAATTTTCTCTTGCTCCTCATCACCATCGCCATCACTACTGTCCTCCTGTTGCTCTGCAGCTAATTTCTCACCTTGTTTATTTATTATAAGAATAGTCAAATAAATTTGCAGTTATATGAATTCCTCAGCTTCTACGTACGCAAAACTTCGACGATGGCGTGTTGCGTCCGTCGCTCCAATTTGCGTAGCATTGGCGCGATATCGCGCTCAATGTCCCAGTTGGCGCGCTTAGGCGCTAAATTAAGAAGCTCATCATCGCTTTCATCTTCTGTCTTTGCGTCATCTTCCTGCGCCTGCGTCATCTTCTCAACAAAATCTTCTGACTTTTCGTCGGCCCTCGTTGTCAACTGTGTTACTTCACTGGTTTGAATAGCGTCGTTTGTAGAAGTCGGGACCTCTGCAGTGCCAGTAATACCTAATTCCTCACTCGTTATATCAACACCCTCCTTACGAGCCTTGGCATCGCGCAGCATTTTCAGTCGCTTAGCGCGAGGCAACGCATTATCTGCAGCGGTAGTTGTCATATTGTCTGTTTGAAATTTTGAGCACCATTGTCTCCCTGCGACCTAATTTGAAAACAGAAATCGGAAATAAAAAGTTCTAGAATTACCCCGACTTAAATACACCTAATATTCTAAATATTGGCGTTGTCGCATCGCATAGTATATTAGCTGATTTAATCCTATGATCAAGATGGTTTTTTGATTGGAATACCATTCACTCGAAATTATTCCAAGGGCGGCAATTGTCACGGGTACGTGCCGTATAGATTTGCACGCGCACAGACAGTAAATTGTCTTCCATCCAAAGTTACACAAAGGAGCTGCTAGCCTTAACCTATGCAGGTAAATGACTCTAATTATTGTAAATAGCAAAATACGTATACTAATTCATGTCACTCTTGATATCATTACTTGAGAGGCTTTCGTATGTGGCCATCCTCTGTGCGCTTTTTTTAGCAGACACACACGGTATTCCCGTTGCAATCGGTACCACTGGTTAGACGACTAAGTCAGCACAAGACTTCAACTTCTGTAAATTTGGAACACAAGTCGTTCGCTGATTTG